ATGCCCTTTCCTTAAACTGAGACAGGGCCAATTAGAAGGAGATAAGAAGCCCAAAGCAAGGGGCACCTGGCTGGCTCAGCCGGTGGAGCCTGCAGCTCTTGATCTCAGGGTTGTGAGTTCGAGCCCCATGCTGGGTGTGGAGCCTACTTTAAATAAATAAGTTTTTTAAAAAGAAGAAGAAAGAAGCTCAAAGCAAAAGCAAAATGTTTCCCAGGTAGTAATGTTGCTTAGGGACCACCCAGGCAGACAATTTCGTTAAACTAAAGCTGCCTGGCTGAGAGTGCCAAATCCTAACCACTAGACCACCAGGGAGCTAAAGCTGCCTGGCTTGAAAATTAAATATTAATAGCTGTACGTTAATAGTTAAAAGGAAATGTGGGAGCATGAGGGTGACCCCAAACTAATTTCAATATACACACTGTTCTCTCTTCACTATGCCCCATTAACTTTGCCTTGCTTTCTCTCAGCCATCCGGTCCCACAGGTGCTTCCTAGGCTCACAACACCTGCTGAGGCAGCAGTCGGGTTCCCTGGACCTTTGAGCACCCAATCCTCACATGAGGATCTTAAAACACATTGGGCGAGTCAGTGTCAGATTTCCTTCTCAGGCTAAAGGGGCCCCTTTCAGGATTCCGTAAGACATTTCCTCGCTAGGTGGTAGGCTCAACTGCAGTTGCACCATACTGCCACGAGAGGGCACTATGTATCCATGCTAACGGATTGGGAGAGGTTCCCTCAGCCGCTTTAAGAACGTGTATGTAGGGCTGGCGGGAACCCTGGTTTTGCTGATCCCTTTTATCAGGTCATCTCATTTCGTTTTCACACCTGTCCCCCAGCATTTCCACCGGAATGTCCTGAAGACCCCTCAGAATCCCGAGTTCAAATACCAGCACGATCTTCCCCCTCCACCCCATCCCCAGAGGAAACCAGAACCAGAATTTCCCTCCTCCCCCTCCTCTCTCCCCCTCCCTCCTCCTCGATTCCTCCATCTCAGTTAAGGGCCTCTTTACCCTCCTAACCACCCAAACTCAAGACCTTTGGTTCCTGTCCCTTCCCTTTCACCCCAGACAGCCTAGACGTCACTAAAACCAAAACATGCTCTCACTCAGTTCCTTCTGTCCACCCAGATTGCTCCTGTCTGACTGTGCCTCCCTCGGGCAGTGCGCAGTCCTCCCCAGTCGCTGGCCTTTCCCATCATCCTTGATGCTCTGACGACACAGGTGAGATCATGTCATTTCCTTCTTTAAAGGTCAACAAAGGTGCAAACGACCCGAGTGTCCATCGAAGAGTGAATATGGTGTAGCCATTCAATGGAATATTATTCAACCTTAAAAAGTAGGAAATTTCAGGGGCGCCTGGGTGCCTCAGTCAGTTAAGCATCTGCCATCAGCTCAAGTCATGATCTCGGTCCTGGGATCGAGCCCCAGGACAGACTCCCTGCTCGGCAGGGAGCCTGCTTCTCCCTCTCTGTCTGCTGCTCCCACTGCTCGTGTTCTCTCACACTCTCTCTCTCTCTCAAATAAATAAATAAAATCTTAAAAAAAAAAAAGGAAATTCTGACACATGCTCGAACACGGATGAACCTTGAGGACATCATGCTAAGAGACAGCAGGGCTTGGATTCATCCAGAACTGACTGTTGGACCCAGATAGTTTTATCAATAGGCCGGGCTTTTGAGACAACAGTCCCAACACATGGCAAAGGATGTGACAGAGGGATCTACTTTAACATACATACGAACATACGCCGATTTGAAGAAAACCTTTAAATCAGCTACTTCCTTGGTCCCTAATGTCCATTTTTAACTAAGGGAAATTTCTGGGTTGAATTTACTTTTCTGAGTAGATCTTCCTACTGAAAGAAAGGGAAGTTCTCAATCTTCATTCTCTACCTGGGAATAGCTTTGCCTAAAAAGTAATAAAGCTGGCATTCAGCTTTCCAAACAAGGCTTTTTGGCTTTGGTTACTGCAAATCTGTCTGAAGTCGCTTCGTGCAGCTAAGAGGACACACCAGCCGAGAGTTAGTCGGCTCCAGAGCCACTCCTGGATCTTCCGGTTCCTATGTGAGCACTCTAGGCAACTTATTTATGCTCTTGGGTTTTGTTGTTGTTTAAAGATTTTATTTGTTTATTTGGGAGAGAGCACGCGCCGGGTCATGATCGGCTCAAGTCATGATCGGCTCAAGTCATGATCTCGGGGTCCTGGAATCAAGCCCAGCATCAGGCTCTGCACTCAGCAGGGAGTTTGCTTGGGATTCTCTCCCCTTTTCTCTCTCTGCCCCTCCCCACCGCTTGCATGTGCTTGAGCGTGCTCTCTCTCTCAAATAAATATATAACTCTTTAAAATAAAATAAACATTGGCCATCAACAAGCTTGCAGTTTTGCTGTTGTTGTTGTCATCAGTCCGATTAGCCCATCAGGACCAAAAGAATTAAAATAGTGCTTTCTGATGTAAATATAATGCAAGCACATACGAAATGTTAAATTTTCTAGTGGCCACATTTTGACAAACAGAAAGAAGCAGGTGGAATTAACTTTAACACTATTTTTAATTTAACCTGATATGTCCAAAATATCACTTCCACATATACATTTAAAATTATTTTTAAGCTATTAAATGATATACTTTACACTTTATAAAATTGTTATTGAAGTAATTAATGTTAAATGTTATTGCTATATCTTACATTTCCATTCCTTTTTTTCATATGAAGTCTTTGAAATCCAATATGTATTTTACATCAAAGGACATCTCAGTTGGGATTAGACACATGTCAAGTGTTCAGTAGCACCTGTGGCTAATGCCTACCCTACTGGAAAAAGCAGCACTAGAATCTTAAGCCAAAGAAGATACTTAAGGCAGAACATTGGCAAATCCACACTCCTGCTGATCGAACAGAATGCAATGATTTTTCACAAAGCTGCATTTCTAGTTCTACTGTGGTAAGAGCTGAGGTAGGAGGGAAGATTTTCTCACATATTTGGGTGATCATTTTCCTCCACTGAAAATTGTTTAAAGCCACATGAAGCCCTTTCTTTTAAAAGGTTTATTTATTTCTTTGAGAGAGAGAGAGCATGAGTGGGAGGGGCAGACAGAGAGGGAGAGAGAATCCCAAGCCGACTCCACACTGAGTGTGGAGCCCAACAGGGGGCTCCATCCCAGGACCCCGAGATCGTGACCTGAGCTGAAGCCAAGAGCCCAACACTTAGCCAACTGAGCCACCCAGGTGCCCATCCCCCAAAGAAGTATTGAACCTTCTTTAAAGGTATTTTTCTCCAGGGTAGATTTTCTAATGTTTCTTTAGGCTTGAGTTACAACTGGAAGCATCACCCCATATGCTAGAATTTCTGACCAATGTAAAATTTCTCAGATGTGTAAGAAGTCCTGATAAATGCCTGGGACTTTGGCCACATTTATTATTTTCAGGAGGGTCCTGACTTGAATGGCTCATTGGGTTTTCCTCTAATGTGATTTTTTTTTTTTTAAGTAGGCTTTACACCCAACATGGGGCTTGAACTCAGAACCCTGAAATCAAGAGTCGCGTGCTCTACCGACTGAGCCAGTCAGGCGCTCCATTTGTTAGATTTTTTTTAAAGAGAATAGATAGATCCCCCCACCTCTGTTGAGGTATGATTGACATATAATATAGTGTAAGTTGAAGGTGTAAAATGTGATGATTTGATACCATTATATATTGCAAAATGATTACCACATTAGGATCAGTGTCAGAATTTCCTTTTTTTTTTTTTAAGATTCTATTTATTTATTTGACAGAGAGAGACAGTGAGAGCAGGAACACAAGCAGGGGGAGTGGGAGAGGGAGAAGCAGGCTTCCCGCTGAGCGGGGAGCCCGATGCGGGACTCGATCCCAGGACCCTGGGATCATGACCTGAGCCGAAGGCAGACGCTTAACCATCTGAGCCACCCAGGCGCCCAGAATTTCCTTCCTTTTTAAGGCTGAATAATATTCTCTTGTATGTATAGATCACATTTTGTTTATCCATTCGTCAACAGACACTGGTTTCCTTCTACTTTGGGACTACTGTAAATCATGTTGCTATGAACATGGGTGTACAATATCTCTTCACGCCCTTGGTTTAAATTCTCTGGGGCATACACCCAGCAGTGGAATTGCTGGATCACGTGGTAATTTTGTTTTGGCTGCTTTGAGGAGCTGCCATACTTGTTTTCCACAGTGGCTGGACAGCTTCTACATCCCCATCGGCGACGCACAAAGGTTCCAATTTCTCCACTTGCTATTTCCAACACTTGCTATTTGGTGTTTTCACTAGTAGCCAACCCTAATAGGTATGAGATGGTCTTTTCTGCATTCTTGCACACTCCATTTGGTCGATTTTGGTGTTTTGTTCTTAGTTTTTTTAATTTTTGTAGGGTTCCCCCCCATTTGGTCAATTGTGAAACTGTTAAATGTTTCCTGCCGTTTGAACAGTTAGGTTTTAATTTTCATGGTGTTCATTTCAGATGAGAGGCAGCCCCAGGCAGTGGCAAGTGCACAGGCCGCGGTGGCACAAGTCCTGGGTTCTGATTCAAGTCTGTCCCTGGGAGACCCTGGGCAGGAGAGAAGTTTCTCCAGGCCTCGTTTGCTCCTCCTCCGGGGGAAGCGAGCATGATAAATAATACACCGTGCTCCAACTCCTCAGCTGAAACTTAGGCCTGGATACGTTTGAAGTGGACATTCTCTCTCACAAGTGAGTTGCCGGATTCGATTTCCATTTTTTTTTGTTTTCCTTTTGACTCATTTCGTTGCTCCTAGAGTGGGGCACACGCCGCCCTGGGAGTACCGTCTGGGGATCTGGCGCGGTCGGGTCCCTGGCGGCCGGCGAGCCTGGGGAACCACCGAGAGGCGAGGCCTCCCGCGTCCTAGAGAGGGCGCCTCGACAGACCGACGCGGGCGCACTTCCGGCCTTTGTGTGTCTGCGGGTGATGGCGGCCCGGGGGCTCGGGGCGCTGCGCTTCGGCCCCCGGGGTCCGTGCTGAAGCGTGCCTCGGCGTTCCCCACTCCCTGGGCCGAGGCGGGCGTCCCCCGGACGCGCAGCGCCGGGCTCGGCCTCCCCTGGGGGACCCCCGAAGAGGCCCGGCTGCGCACCGCGGGGGCCGCGACTCCACCTGGCCCCGCATTCTGGTCTCGCCTTCCCTTTGTGCCCCCGGCCGGCGAGGAACCGTAAAAGACCAGGGGTGCGGTGAGGGCGGGGTCCACGGTTTGACCCCTCGTTCTGCCCGGCTGCAGAATTCAGGCCCAACCCGCTCCCTCCGTAATCCGTGTTGCTGGCCATGGCGGGTCCTTTGGAAAAATGAAGTGGTGGTTGAACTGCGAAACGGGCTCTGGATCCCTGGGCTTTCCGTTTTCGTTGTTCAGTGCACACTTAGCACCCCGAGCGCCGGGCTAGGAGGGGGGGAAGTGAGGATTCACTAGGTTCTTGTCTGTCCCAGCCTGGGGACACTAACAAGGGAACGGACGGGTGTGTTCCTGACGCGGTGTGAGATGCACACGCGAGCTGGTGTGGACGTGCGGGTAGAGCCACGGCGGACGAGGATCCGGACGGGGAAACTTCGAGGTGGCTGCTAGTGCAGGGAGGGGTGAGAGTTGGGGCTGTGGAAATGCCAACCGGCCTGGAACGTTCCTGTTAGAGCTGGAGCAAAAGCACAACCGTGAAAAGGGGAGCGCGGGGGCACTGCCAGGGGAGGGGTAACTATTTCAACACCATCCTGATAAATGTTTATTGTGTGCTGGGTTGTGGAGATTAAAGAATGTGTGTGACCACAAGGCCCCGCTCTAGAGATTGTTGAATCACTTCTGCTGGAAATAGCCAAGACTCTTAAAAAACATAAAAAGATAAGTAAATAAATAAAACACCTGGCTTTGTTATCTAGAGATAGTATGGCAAAATGGTACCTGAACGCCGCTTACTGGCTGTGTGACCTTGGGCAATTTTCTTAAATCTTTCTGACCCTCGGATTCTTTGTTTCTTTTTTTTTTTTTTAAGATTTTTTTTTATAGATTTTATTTATTTATTCATGAGAGACAGAGAGAGAGAGAGAGAGAGGCAGAGGGAGAAGCAGGCTCCCAAGGAGCAGGGAGCCCGATGTGGGACTCGATCCCAGGACTCTGGGATCATGACCTGAGCCAAAGGCAGATGCTTAACCATCTGAGCCACCCAGGTGCCCTTTTTTTAAGATTCTTATTTATTTGAGAGAGGATGAGAGAGAGAGAGAGAGCACGTGAGAGGGGAGAGGGTAAGAGGGAGAAGCAGACCTGCTGAGCAGGGGAGCTCCACTCGGGGACTTGACCCCAGGACTCCAGACGTGAGCTGAAGGCAGACACTTAACTGGCTGAGCCACCCAGGTGCCCAAGATTTTTGTTTCTTTGAGTCTACTTTTTCCTTTCATTTATTTTTCAGGCTTGAAATCAAGTGTGTTCTTTTTCTTCTTCGGGCTTATATACAGACCTTTTTGCTGAATTGTGATCTATTCCTGAGAACTTGATATTCTGCAAATCTTCATGTCCCCCCAAAATCACTCAAAATAAGACCAAGGCTAGTAGAGTAGGGGACACATACACAGAAAGATATTTATGATCTTCTTTATATGTAAAATCTAAAAAAAGAACTAGAAACAGAACAGATTGGTGATCGCCAGAGGCGCGGGAGTTGAAAATGGGTAAAGGTGGTCAAAAGGCACGAACTTCCAGTTATAAGGTAATTTCTGGGAGTGTAATATTCAGTATGGTGCCTATAATTAGCAATACTGTATTGTATATTTGTTGCCGAGAGAGTCAATCTTAAAAGTTCTCATCACGAGAAAAAAAATTCTGTAACTATGTATGGTAGTGAATGTTAACTTATTGTGGTGACTATTTTGCACTATGTACATATATCAAATCATTATGTTGTATACCTTAAAGTGATGCAATATGTCAATTATATCCCAGTAGAACTGGGAAGATCATTTAAAGTAAAAGGAGCTGGGGGTTCTGGGGGGCTCAGTCGGTTAAGCATCCAACTCTTGATTTCGGCTCAGGTCATGATCTCAGTCGTGGGATCGAGCCCCAAGTTGGGCTCCTTGTGCTTAATGAGGAGTTGGCTTGGGATTCTCTCTCTCTCTCTCTCTCTCCCTCTGCCCCTCCCCCCTCTAAAATAAATCAATTTTTTATGAAAGGAGCGAGTAGGGGTGCCTGCCTGGCTTAGTCAGTAGAGCGTGCAACTCAGATTTGGGGGTGATGAGTTCAAGCCCCATGTTGGGCACGGAACCTACTTAAAAAGAAAAAAGTTGTGTAATATAAAAGGAGCAGGTAACCTGATGAAGAGGCTGAGAGGAGAGGTTGAGGCCTTTGAGTTAGGGAGACACGGCACATACACAGAGATTGGGCCAACTGTGCAATAAGCCTTTGCAAAATAAAGCTTGTAGCTACCTGAGCTAGCAGGAGGAAAGAAGGGTGTGTACTGAACTCAAGTTCCCCACAGCTTGCTGAATTCAGCTTTCCTGCTCTGCTTTGCTTTCGGGTGCTGTTGCTTAGCAGCACAAGACGTTAACATGCTGAGAAAACTTGCATACAAAACAACAGGACTTCACATTTTACTAATACCGCTCTCCCCATTTACCACGCGTCTCTGTGCTAATCACATCCCCAGGAACATATTCTAGCTAAGCAAACTATCTGGTCATCGCTTTCTTCTGGTCCTTTCATAACCTCTCAAGCTACTTCTTTGTTTCCTAAATTTCTCAGGAGAGGGTATGATGGATAATAATGTTTGCTTCTAAGAGCAGGGATGTGCAGTGATCAGAAACTGGGAAAATGTGTGGGGAGAAGTGGTGTGGGTGGATGAGATTGAAGTATACACCGGGGAGTCTGCAAGTTACAAGCGCCTAACTGACAAACGTTGTGATGCACCTGCCTCCTCCTTGCCCACCCTCCCCACCACCCAGCCCCAGCCCCGCCTCCCCATCCACTACGCCTGAAGGCTCTGACCAGGAAGCAGGAGCTAAGCAAGACACATCTAATCTGGCACCTCTTCCTCACTGCCTCAGGGAAACCGTGTCCTCAGCGCCACCCTTTCCTGCCTGCCACTGCTCACTATTCCATTATGCCACGTCAGGCAGCCTTGCACCCAGGCACACAAGCTCCCTCTTTGTGTCCCTGCAGTAGGGACATTTTCCATCACCTGCCTTTACCTTAGAAAATGTACTGCCCTTTTCCATCTCACGCTCTTTACCCCCCTTGTGGATTTCAGTACAACACTAATCATGGCTGATTTGACCAACAATTATCCAGAGATACAAGCGTATTAAGAAGAGAGAAGACCACAAATACCCACGTGAAATGACATGGGAGCTACGAGCACCTCAATCGTTTAAAAGCCCAAGTATCTCACTCAGAACCTCCGCAAAAGTAATCTCTTGCTGGAATCCTCCACTACTAGCCCCCCAGAGGAATAGTGTGTCTAACCCAGCTGCATTGTTTTCCTTTTGTGTTTAGATGCTAGAACTGCAGTAATGTTTCCTGCTATTTTTCACTGCAGATCTATAGCATTTGGGCCACATTATGTTTAGCTGAGTTCTTGTGAGGGCATAAGTAATGTCTATAGCACTGTTTAGTTGGGAAAATTAGCTCCAAACTCCCAAGAGCCAATCTATAAATGTGCTATTGGAATATATTTCTGTTTATTAGAAATAACCATTTATATGTTAGTATTTTACTCTTGTAATACTTTACTGTTGTACATAATTTTTTTCTGCACCCAACCCATATTTATTGGCTTCTTGCTAATGTTTTGAGAAATAACACTTTTAATCACTCTGCATGGAAATCTTGCTAAAATTTATGATGCTTTCCTGTGGGGACATGATTTAACTCATTTTTCTTGCCTCAGTCAACATTACACACATCTTTTACACAATGATGTCCTCAGGGACATCGTGGGTTCTTTGCCCTACATGAAATAATCCTACCTACATAAGTTTCTTAGTTTCTCTGTAGATTTCTTTTCGGAGAAAAAGTAAACCGAAGCCTCACATATGCAGATAATTTGCTCAATTAAACATGAATCCTGCTTTCATGTCAGTTATTACAGTAGTCTCTCAGGTTTTTAAAAGTTATTTCTAAGTGACTCAAGAAGTCTGAATTTGTTTAAAATTCAATCCTTGGCACAACCCTTTCCATATGCCATTTTTAAAAACATGGTCTGACACAAATATTTACCGTGTAATGTTCAAAGAGGAACCCTGAGCCTCTTTAAAAATAAGACAAACAAACTCTGTCCTTTGCTTGGGACTTAGTGCTTATTTTTCAAACCTTATTGCAAACTTCCCTGGTATTTCTGACCCCGTTTATGTAGCCAATGTATTTACGAGAGTGAAGTGACTCATACACACTTGTTTTCTAATTTCCTTTTGGGCAATGGTTATAAAAACATTATTTTGTGAATCCACTCTGTGCCCTGTCATCACTTATTCCCCTGGTCCCACCTGGAACATTAAAATGCCCTCTTTCTGGGAGCAGGTCTATAATCCCAGTCTGTTCTAACCACATGGTTCTGCTGCTGTAAAGGGACTGGAGGTAAAACCATGGGCGGATGATTGCTCTTTCCAGGAAGTTCCCTTCCCAAGGACTCTGTCTGTGTTAGAACATTGCCCAGTCATGCTGTGCCCCAGAGGAGAAATCCCATACTACTAGCCTGTTGCTGAGCCTTGG